CAAAAAATATTTACATTAAGCAGCTAAAACCTCAGTAGGAAGCTCCCACACCAATGCTGCTTTCCTACGCATCCTCCTTGGGACAACAACCCCGCACGTCCCCTTACATCCATGGCGGCGCCTCCAGTCTCACACAACTACTTTAGAAAAGCGCACGCGTAGAGAAAAGGGACACGAACCATGACACATCCGCAGCAGTGATGCCGTCTGAGTACTCGTACTGCCAGTCCATGGTTGCACCTTGTTGCACCACGGCGTGTACCGGTACCTCACAAGCAGCTCCCGTAGCGTTGCCTCGTCCTCGCCTTGGAGCTCCAGTCGGTCCGCGAGGCTGACATTCGATCTGCTGTGCCGGTTGCGAACCCTCAGCTGCAGCACACCACCTCGGGGTCTCGGGGGCCGAGGTGGTCCTGGCACGTCCCTGTCTTCCCACCGGCTTAACTGGTCGTGGTGGTCATACTCCTGCAGCTCAAGCACCACCTCGCGCTCGTCGTCGTCGTCGTCCTGCCGTGACACATCAGTTTAAGATCTTAAGTTAACGGTGTCCCAAAGGTGTTTAAAGAACAGGGAAGGGAGCAAGATGAAGTAGGACTTACGTGGCGTGGCTGCGGATGGTGGCGATGGGACTGTCCCGATCCCCGGTAATCCAACTTTCTCATAGGTTTCTTATGGTGAGCCACCACCCCGGTCGAGGGCCGTGTCTCGCCCATCGTGACACCTGTGCAAAAAGGGTAAATTTCAGGTTCAGCGCAATAGAGCCGTCGGACGCTATAAAAAAATTCTTTCCTGCGATGTGTACTTACAAGACAGGCCTAAATCTACTGAGGTCTTATAGCATTTCTGGGCAGTACGGAAACTTCACAATGTTAAGGAAATAAAAACAGTGCGTTTTTTCCAAACACGAAAAAAATACACTACAAAATTAAAATGGCAGATCTACAAAAATAAAACCGAACACGCCATGCGTAAGCCGAAACAAAATTTGACGATGGACTCGACTCGCACTCGTACACCAAGAACCGAAGAGTAGTCAGTTATCGACCGCCCCTCAACCGGCTAGGCTGTTTAGGACACCCCGCGACCACCCGGTTTCTCCGGCCGCGTTCGGTGACCAGCAGAACTTCGTGAACAGGTACTACCAGCGGCAACCAGCCGCAGGCCCGAGTTATAATGTCGCTCGCACTCAATACGGGGAGATGCTACAATATCAAAGTGAGGCGTTCGGATTTCGGTTCTTGTCGTACACAGCAATACTCCCAAAGAATGAACGGGCTACTCAACTATACTACGATATTTTTCACAAATCGTTCCTTTCCTTACGAAACATTTTTAAATATACACTGCAAAAAATTATAACAGGAAAAATGACAGCAACCGCTAATTATTTTCCAAAAACGTCTCTTATTCAAAAAACAGCGTTGCTGTAGATTGAATGGTTAAAATTTGGTACGGAGAGCAATGTGCAGGACCACCGTAGAGGTACCGAACAGGTAAAACCGGACAAAACTGTCTGCGGTGGAGCCGTATTCGGCCACTGTACCGTGTAAAAACTGGGCTTTCCGGTGCTACAGCGACACTGTACTCCACGCTCTGAACCCTAGGTGCAGTGACTAATAGCGGCATCTACAGTAACGCCGTAGATTAGACTCTAATTTTTTGCAGTGTACGACGCTTGTAATATGACTTTAACCACACCCACTCAGCCATTTTCATTTGTACAATTGTTCTAGAGTTGCAGTTTTGTATGACTTGACATGTCCAAAAATGTACATTCCAAGTTTGTGAGAATTTATGGCCGTTAGTTAATCGCCCTTAACAGAGATATGAGGGTTTTCCCCGTTTTTGACCGACCGCACAGACCACCTGGCCGGTCTCTTCTGACCGCCGCAGGTGAGAGGTGAGGAGGGGAACGTTTCTTTCTCAGCTCCTCTCACCTGCAGGCGCAGGCGGTCAGAAGAGACCGGCCAGGCTGTCTGCGTGGTCTGTCAGAAACGGGGAAAACGCTCAACTCTACGCCTCGAAGACGAAGTCTTCGGGAATACATCTTTGACTATGTTCGAGCATAGAATAGGCCGGGCCTAAATATTTCAGTTTATGTAGTGGCTAAATAAGGGACCGTCCAGAAAGTACGTCCTTCTTCACGTTCATTAGACAAATTATGGGATCGGGCGCCTGCGAGACCCAGGATAGGCTACCCTGCTGCACACGCATGCGCTGAAGGCAAAATGTTTGCCTACCTATTGGGCACTCTGAGAGCTTGCCGAGGCGGAACTAGGGGGATCGTATTGGCGAATTGCGGGCTTACTTTCTGAATGATCCCTAAGCACCAATGATGTTCATTTTATGGTTAAAGTGTAACATTTCATGTCGATATATCACTGTTAAAAACTCTGTACCCAGAAACAAGAATCTGTACAGATCCTCCTTCACTTTCCTACTTGCATTTGAGAGACAAAGACATGACCGTGGTCAAAAAGAACTTTTCCTAGTCTAAGATACAACAGTCTACCCTTCAACTATATAGGATCACACTGTTTCCAAAGTTACCAGACCATTCTGTAGTGATACATCACAGTGAATATTTACTGTTGTAATTTTCATCAACTGATTGTTTTCAAAGGAGTATATGCGTAGTTCTTGGCCCTAAACAATCAGCATCACTCATAGAAAACAACGGCTTGAGTGTCTTGGTTGTAGCTTGCTACCGCCCGCTTGATG